ACACACACATGGACACAAATAATCTTCCACACACGTAAAAACACACATATCCACAAACACAATAGTTCACTTTGACACTATTAAACGCTCTCTTTCTGTGACACACACACATGGACACACACACTCTCTCTCTCCCACACACACACACACACACACAGAAGCACACACCAGCTTACAGCACTAAGCTAACCGTCAGCGTCCACACCCTGAATTTCAGTTACAGTCAGGCAGCCTCGCCCACTGGGTGTGTCAGGAGCTCTGATTTACCAATAAAGACACTGGACACTAACTCACAGACACACACAGACACACAACACATACGCACCGCACTTCTTCAGTGGCACACTAACCTCAACTCTGCAGCCTCACAAAAGCAGCAATCTATCTACCAAATGTCCTCATGTGTGCATGCTGTGTGCATGCAAACACACACATCCAACACGCATGTGCATGTTCGTGTTCCTGCGCTACAGCCGGGCGTCTCCAGCGCGCTCGGCTGTACGGAGGGTTATATAAGGTTATATAAGCATCCAGTCATGGCAGCGCTGCAGTAATGTAATTAGTCAGGAGCCTGCAGGCGAGGGAGGTGACCCACACAAAGACCGAATTCCCCAGAAACCCTGCTGTGCATTAGCGTCTCTCTTGTCTGCCCTGCTGACTTGTATTATGGACAGTCACTTGACATCATGGCTGGATTTCGGTGCTTATGTCTTGTGTATTCCTGCAACACGATGGAGGTCCAGAAGGAAAGTGGGATTTTTCCTGCTGCAGTACTGCAACTGGCCACTAGGACAGCGAGGTTTATGCATCACTTTAACGCTGCCTGTTCATCGTCCACATAAGCAGCTCTACAGTGCATGTGTTGTGTTTTGAGACACATTTCCTGCTCCTCGTTTGCATGAAGTTAAGGTCTCGTCTACTTTATGCAAATCAGGAGCCTCTATGTCTCCAGAAAACAAAACTTTCAAACTAGCTGTTGTCGATCTATAAATAAAGACACGTTCAGCAGCTTGTTTCTTGCCGCAATTGTTTCCACAAACACATTTCAGTGAACAGAAGTGATGCCATGTTGGTGCTCTTTGAAACGCAGGGACAGAGGCCACAAGTAAAGCATTCGTCCATTCACATGGAGCCAATGTTTGGTTGCAGGATGGTGAATCCTGGGTGGTTTTCCAGTCAAAGAACACCTGAGAACCATCTGTATAGCACTGCGTAGTTGTACGTCCATTGAGAGTCCAACGCCGGTGTCTAAAAACATCCCTGTGCCAAACCATATCCAGCTCTGACTTTGGTGTTTTTAGAGGCCTCTTCATGCATTCGTGCTTGCAGGCATCTACAGGTTTCTGCGTGATGTAACTTTCATCATCTACAACGTTCATGGGAGTCCACGAAGGCTGTGTGGATCCAGAATTTAAGACCACATGATGTACAAGTTCAGTTTAATAGGAACATAGAAACATAGAATCATGTAAGCCGATGATGGTAGTTAATCAGTGGGATGAAAATCCACGCATGAACTGTCCAACGTGGCTTTGATCAGAGTGTTTTTACACCATTTCGCTTCTCAGACGACATTGTGCGACACCAGGATGTTCAGTTCATGAGACAAGCTGAACTTAGTCCGCATGAGGTTTAGAAACATGACTTGCAGCTTCTCTGCATTAGAGGAAAATCAAGTGACTACGATACATTGGTGGCGTCACACATCTGTCCTGTTCTTGACACCATCTCTGTTTGACAGCTGCTCGTTTTCTTCTTCTACAATGCGGTCGAACAAATCAGTCAGAAAAAACGTTCCACGACGCCAGAAAACAAAACGAATGGCGGTTTCGAGGAGGAGGCTGTCAAAGGAGATTTTCCATTTTTATAATTCATCAATAAAAGCGTTGAAGCTTGGACTGTGAAGGTGCTTTGAGGCGTTTCATTCAGATGATGCCCATCAATGGGAGGCATGTACAAACAGAGTCAGTTCTTAATTCTCCAGATATCCTGCGCTTTGTCCGCTGACTGTGCGATGGAGCGGGAGGGGCTGCAGGCTGCTACTTGGTGTTGGACACACCTCGGGAATAACTGTGCTACAGGTGAAGCTGTTGCTATAGTTTGCTGTGAAAAGAGCAAAGTAATAGAAACATCTAGAGGAGCTTTGGGTGTTTTTCAGTGTTTTATGTGAGAGGCATCTGTACCATGAATGGAACCAAATGTTTGTGTGTTGAAAGTCTGTATTCAGACTTTGATTTGGCCTTTAGACCAGATTACATGTTGGCTAAAACATGTTCTATCCTCAACTTAGTCTTGAACCTGAGAACTTTCTTAGCGGACTGATGGAGGCCCGTAAGCTGCTGCTGCTTTGCTAACAAGCTGCTCACGATGCTACACCCTGTATTCAGCTTTAAACCTCCAGGAAATGCAACGTTTCTGATCCAGTCCTGCACATGTTTTACTATTTTTTTTCCCTTCCCAATAATGTTTCATTCCTGGATATGTTTGTTGTACGGACTCACCCTGCGTCGAGGCTCTGGGCGCTGAGGGAGGCCGATCCGGACTCGGTGCCGCTCTCTGCATCGCTGTCACTCTGATACTCCACCGGAGACGTCGAACCTGGTTTGATACGAACTGCAGGGAGGAAAGGAACGAGAGAAGATGGACAGAAAGAGGGAATGGAGGGGCAGAAATCAGGAACAGCGATGGAGTGAGATGGGGAAGAAATTGAGGAAAAAAAGAAGGTAAAGAGGGGTGGAAAGAGAACAGCAGGGGGTTAGTCCAGCAACGCAACAAGACAAAGCTTTGCTCTCAGTGTGCGTCAGTGGAGTTAGGTGTGGTCCGCACTTTATAACGGATCGAACTCGCGGCCAAACCAAACGCTGGATTTCTCCGCCTTTTGTTTCTCAGAATTTTCCAAACACGTTTTTTGTCTTCCAGTCTTTGTTTCGTTCCCCTTTTCCTTCCGTTTCAACAACCTTTCACAATGTCAGAGCAGGACGACGACGACGACGACGCGAACAGATGTTAATGAAAACTATTCTGAACTCACAGACGACGCTAATTAGCAATTAAGCGAAAGACAAACCTCTGGAGGCCACCGGAAAAGCTCCGCTGGTCGTCCTCGAGGTTTGGCAAGCTGTTTGAAATTCTTACAAGTTCTTACTTTTCGAGGAGGAAGGAGGATATTTGTTTTTATTGTGGCGCCGCTGCTTCTGAATACCTGACAGCGGAGAAATAAGGCTCGCGAGACAGTTTTTGCAGCTTGCCTCCGAAATGGAAGTTGAAATCACAAAAACGCATGTGACAGAAGATGCTCGTGCTGATAAAGTCACTGGAGTTCTGCAGCTCAGGAGATTATTTCTGTGTCTTTCAGCTGATTCTTTTGGTTACTTAAAATCCTAAAAACGCATCTAGGTGCATCCGAATTACATATTAGGAAGTTTTCCCATAAAAATAATCCCGTCCTGCCTTAACAGAACTTAGATCTAACTCACCGATGACTCTTCTTAAACACTGTAAAGCTACGAGACGCTCGATAGTTGTAACGCTGGAATAATTCAGATGTTCTAAAGAAAACCTATGCTGGAGTTCAGTTATTATGAACAAGCTTTAGTCAATCACAACAGTGGTTAATCTATATTTAATTAATTCATCGTACTACAGAGCGGGCTGGATGAGTTTGGTTTGGATTTATCTCTGCAGTACAACGAAAGGTGACATCGTTCTCGATAACGGCGCTGAAAATCCTTAAACTACCTTATCTACACTGCCTTGCTAATGTTGTTTCTATCGATATCAGTCGTCAGCTAATCTGTTCCTGTGTATCAGTCTCTGTTTCTCTTCCGTCTCGTTGTTTTTATTCCAAAACTCCCAGTTTGACAACATCAGAAACGGCGGCAAGCAAACGCTGACAACACGACACCAGCAAACAAAAGGACAGTTCTGGTATCGCGCTCTGATGATTAATTATTTGGTCTGAACACATAGCGGCTAAAAACTAAAGTCCTCCTCTTCCTCCTCCTCCTCCTCCTCCTCCTCCTCCTCCTCCGACTGCAGGAATGTGGCAGCCATACTGCTCAAAGTCCACCGAGAGGAGAGGAGAGGAGGGGTGGGGTGGCCGAAGGGTGACGCAAGGAATTTGGGTGGAGTGCGAATATATCTGTGTGTGTGTGTGTGTTGGTGTGTGTTGGTGTGTGTTGGTGTGGGGAGGGTCACACACTCAACCAGAAGAAGTGGTGCTCTTTGTCTCTGGAGACAATTAAGCCGTCCCCCCCCCACATCTCCGCCGTCGCAGCCTTTTCAAAGGCAAAACGACCCATCTCCTCTCCTCTCCTTTCCGACCCTCCTCCTCCTCCTCATCCTTCCTCACCCTTGCAGCAGACTCGACCTCCCCCTCCTCCCAACCTCCACCTCCTCCACTCCCTGCTCTCTCTACCTTTTCCAGCACCTCCTTCCTCTTTTTTTTCCCCCCCTCCCACACAACAACAGCGAACGTCAGCCGCCCTCCGGCTCGGTCGCTTTTGCAGGTACAGGAGGGAGAAAAAAAAAAAATCTCAAGTTGCGTCTTTTTCCTCTCGCTCGGTTCCCTTGTCTCGCTCACATCTTCGCTCTTTGTTTTTGGCGGTTGTACGGCGGCGGTACGCTGTGAAATGTAGACAGAAGCAGCTCCTTCAGTATCCAACTGGTCCGACTCACCAGACTGATGAGAGCCGATTACACGAACAGAACCGAACGATCTGCAAACCCGAAGCTGAAACCATGACCCATCTGGCATCAAGGATATTAATGATCTGTGTAAAATTCACCGACACCAGCTTTAAACTCGAGTTTCTTACAACTTGTACTTTCCTGGTTTTGACATCGTTCACATCAGCAAAAACGACTGAAAAGGACTCAGACGGCACAAAAAACCCACAATCACACAGAAAAACAGAGAAAAGAAGGCAAACTGTTGAATGTTAGACAAACTTTCCTTACAAACCTCCATCACACGTAAACATCACGGTTTAATTTTAAACCACCGTCCTACAAAGTGAAGGTTTGCTCCCAACACTTCCTGTTTCATACACTTCTTTACAGCCTCTCTAAACATCCGACTGCTCTGTTCCTTTGCTCGATTGACTTCTTGTTAACGTGCCAAACAGTGAATAACGATCAAATCCACAAAAACAAAGCCCAATTTGTAATCAAGCCTTAAAGAGCAGCTGAAAGTCTTCCTTCTGCAGACCCCCGGCATTGATGTAAACGTCCAGGGGGAGTCTCAACACACTCCCACATCGCTGACATCGGGTACAACACTGTGAAACAAGCTCCTTTTCAAAGCCACCCTTCGATAGCAGAGATTAGCGTTACCACTCGCTGACATCTGCAGCCAATGAAGTGAGCAAAGTCTGCAAAGGCGGCAACGGAATCCCCGTTAAACGGCATCAATACTTGCTTAATGTGGTGCAATTCAGACACAGAACGCGGTGTCGGGCGGAATCCTTTAAACCCGAACAGACAGGCCATCGGTTACGGAGAGAGAGGCGGCTTGTTGGGGCAGGCAGAGCGACGGGGGTTGACGGGGGAAAAAAAAATCTGCGATGACTTATAAGTTACACCTACGAATGCTGCAACATTTTCCAGGAGGTTCAGGTTGACGGGATCGTTAAAGCACAAAGGATGCGAAGATCAGGAAGACGGCAAAACCGCAGATGCCCAAAAATGACTCTCAGGATGTTTACTGGATTCTGTACCGTTGGATCTAAATCATGTCAGGAGTCCACCCTGAACAGGTCGCCAGCTACTGACAATCGAGAACCACCAATTAACCTAACATGCACGACTTCTGGACGTCTGGGAGGAAGAAGCTCCACACAAGCCCAAGGACAACATGAAAAGTCCACACAGAAAGCCGCCAGCAGATTCGAACCCTTCTAACCGCCGCACCACCGCGCCATCCCAGATTTGCAAACTGATTTCAATAAACTGTGCCTCAAACCTTTTATATCACTGTAGGTTCATATTTCAGACCTCTGTAGAAACAGCACGACCACGACTAGAAGGAGGCAGACCTTGACAAATTTCTTTTCAAATTAAACTAAAAAGAAGAACTGGAATCAGCATGTGCAGCATTTTTCCAAAAGCTCTCAGGTGTTACTAGGTTAAAAAAAACAACAAGTGTGACTCTACGTACTATAGATATTTTACTCCTTCTCTGCATAAACACTGCCTGCAGTTCAGTCGAAAACTAATTGTTGTCATGCGAGTATTTGTCACAGCTGAGCCGCTGAAGGCTTTCCTGTTGCACCGGCGAACACAGAATTTTTTGGTTTTTACAGAATCTGGGAAAAGCAATGGGTTGATTTTTGACAAATTTTTAAACGAGACATGTGGAATAAACGGAATTAAACGTTACAGATGATCAATTCACAGTTAATTCTGTTTTTTTACAGTTTCTGGCTGAAACAAATGTGGGAACTGTTCCAGGTTTTAAGGGTTAAAGGTTAGTATTGTGCAGGTTGGCACAAACACCTGTGTCATCACGTGTGTGATATTTACTACTTTAATATGACGTGATTGCATGCCGTGCAACGTAAACGATGTTCTTCCTAAAGTCCTACATATAAACGTTGTTGTTCTAACGCTCGCAAACCTCCTGTCACGAGTTTGTTGAGCTGCAAGCTGCGAAGTGAAGGAAAGCAGAAGAGACAGTTTGAGACAAAGTGGAAAATGTAAATTATGACACGACGACTCCTGGCATGTACCGAGCATCGCAGACTGAGGTCAAACAGTCCGAGAGCATCCTCGGGCCAGTTTCTTTTTTCTTTTTTTTTGTGCAGCTTCCTCCCCTCGCTGCACATTCCCGAGCCGGTTCAGAAACCTCGCCGACTTCACCGAGCGACTTCGCCGCCGTTTGTCAAAGGGGCGGAGGCCCGCTTCGCCAGCCTGCCTGAGCAAATGTCGAGCTTCCCTCCGTGTTTGCTCAGGGATGGAGTGCGCCTCCTTCGGCTTCTTCATTAGCCGTTGTTCAGCGTGAATCACTCGGAGTGGTTTCTGACTAACAGCTGGACAAATTGAACTTTCGAGGGAGGCTTGATAGAAAGATTAAACTACTAAACTCTCTGCGGCTCCGACGATTATTTCCACACGCTGGTTAATCTCAGGTCGTGCACGTACGAGGTAGAAAAAAAAAATCAGCAGCAGTCGGAAAAAGCACCCTGTACGTTCCTATTTTAATTTGCTATAAATTCCACAGAATCTACAACACGTGCAGCGTTTCTTTCCACAAGTTTCCTCATCTGAGCGGGACCATCAATCACCCGGCGCATATGGAGAGCTTCCAGAAACGACAAAGACAGGCAGGCGGACAGACGGCAAGTCTAACATACCACTAACCACAAACACACAGCAGCTCCCTCGGGAGTCGCTGGAAGTCCTCCGAGAGCGAGATCTCCCCGCGAACGACAGCGTGAGCGACGGCGACAGAAGCATGAAAGAAGAACCGCAGGTGTGACAGAGGAAGATGGAGGGAGGGGAGAAAGACGGGAGGCCTGGTAATCTAACAACCATCTCAAACTGCTGATCTTTTTTTTTGTTTTTTTGTTTCCCCCCAACTGAAGCGTTTTACACAACCGTCCCTCGTGTCGTCTCAACGTCCTGTTTCAACATTAAAAAAAGGAAGAAAGACGGTTTCATCTGCGGCTTCAAACACCTTCCTACCTGGTGTTTAACCCGCCGAAGAACCTCAAGCTTTCCCGTCTCGTTTTAACTCGCTGTGGGCTCGTTTTTAATGCACCTGTATAGAAACTAGCAGTAGAGAGAAGTCACACATTTCTCCTGTGCAGTAAAACACAGTAAGAATGTCATTAATCAGAGCGCTCACAGGTGTTAGCACCACCGGGAAAATCAGTCTACATACTTTAGATGTTTTACCATCTACTGGGTAAACAAGCTCGACCGAATTGTCAGGGATTTCTTGAAATTTTAAAACCTATTTTGATATTATTGTAAATAAATTATGGAGCTTGTTTGAATAATATTTGATATATTATTACTAAATTGGCTATGACATCTTAAATCAATTGATTCTTCTGCTCACCCATCTCTGGTTTACTTACAACTTTAAAAAAAAAAATAATCAAAACTATAGATTTATAAAATGAAGTTCTAGCCTCATATCTAATTCAATTTTTCA